TTCTTATTTTGACATCGTAGGAAATACTACTCTCCATGCATTTCGTAGACTTTAAAAGAAAATTATATTTTTGCGCTTCAATGAAAGTAACAGGCTCGACTTGAATTTGAAGGGGAAATCACCCCATTATCTTTCCCAAGACGTCATAGCATTTCATAAATAAAGAAAATACTTTAAGAATAGTTATGACCACGTACTGCGTTCTGAACTTAAGTAGTATTTTTCAAAAATATATTCTTATAAAATTTGTGCGCTATATATAAAAATGAAAATGTATTTTATATATATATTACATATCTCCATTAATCATCTGAGGAACACATCTTTGTCTTCCATCAGTATGGCTGATGCTAAACTCCAGGAAACTCCATCTCGTGCTAACGTTCTCAGCTGACATAAAGTGGAAAGACTTTATAGAATCTATTGCTAAGTCAGCTGCTAAGAAAGTTGGTTCACTGTGTCGTACAAGAGAATTTTTCTCTCCAGAATCGATCTTACTTAGGCCGGTGTTTCTGCTATTTACCTTGAGTTCTTTGATAAAATCCAGAGAAGAATCAGCAATATTCTCAGTACTGATCTGTCGTTTCGGCTTCAGTCTCTTTTCCATCGCCACAAGGTTGCCTCTCTGTGACTTTTCTATAAATACTTTCATGGTTATTGTTTCGACGAATTCTTCGCTATGATACATAGCCTTTTTTTTTTACTTTGAGTAGTACTAGACTGACGTCGAGATGTCATCAAACAACAGTTGAGCTGGTTAGATATAGCCATAAGTTCTATGCTAACAGTTTATTTCTCGCACTTCTCGCTTGTGGAACTCCCTTCCGTCTCTGTGCTTTTCAGCCAACTTTAATCTGCAAAACTTTAAATGCAATGTCAGTCGATATCGACTGCCCCCCCCTGATTGCGCTTTCCTCTTCCAGCTCATTATTCATGTTTTTGTTCCTAATTCTTCCACACCCTGTAACCCTGTGATGAACACGCGTCAGTACAGACGCAAAAGAGGCCTCACATATGGACATGTTTGTCAACACCAGTTACATCCGGATTTTTCCTCCGTTAGCAACGGGACAGTTTGGCATGCTTTGCTAGATACAAGCCTCCCTGCAACTGGTCAAGATCCGGGTCAATTTAAAACGCCTCATTCCAATAAAAGCAGAGAGAAAACAGCAGTCGATACGGTGTCTTCTGAAGTTGGTCCCGTGGCATTTTGTTCCTCAAATTGCTATGGTTTCCGAGGCACATTTTCTGTTACCCACCCCCCACCGTCTCATTCCCTCCTCTCTCTATTATCTCCGTATTTGTTGGGAGAGCAATCGGTTAGGTACCAATCTCAATAGACTCTTTGCTTACATTACTGTTACTTATATAACCATTATAGTATATTACTTTTGGTTATATTTATTACTGTTAGTGTTCGATTAGAATTAACTATGTTCGATTGCATTACTTGAGATATAAATCAATCAATACCAGAAGTAATACAACATTTTTTCCATCACATCCATCTCATTAATTAATGGAACATTAAGATCGTCGATGCCTTTATGTGATGTTATTAGCTTCTTTTTGGAACGTGGGGTTTCACATTAATTCAGTTTGATAAACAGCATTATATTCATCTCATCAAAGCATGTGTCAATAAAATATAAAACAGTATAAATTTAGAATCTGTCTATATTTCTGAGATGAGGTATTATGTACAGTATTTACATTAGTCGGACTAATGTCCTCATCTTTGTCGCCATATTTGTCACAACGTTTCGGCCGTTGTACGCTCCGGCCTTCTTCAGGTGGTTGGAATTTCGAACTGAACCCTTTATTTCGATCACTGGGGTAGACTGTTCTAGTTCCACGTGCCAAGGGCACATGGCACAGTGGATAAAGGCGTTGGTTAGATCCAGTGACAGACCCAAAGAGTTGTGAGTTCAATACCTGGTTAAGGCAGTGGAGAACTTGGAGAGGTGAATTAACAGGAGATAACTGATAACTGACATCCATCAAACATGGCACGTGGAACTAGAACAGTCTACCCCAGTGATCGAAATAAAGGGCTCAGTTCGAAATTCCAACCACCTGAAGAAGGCCGGAGCGTACAACGGCCAAAACGTTGTGACAAATATGGCGACAAAGATGAGGACAATAGTCCGACTAATGTAAATACTGTATATAAATTTAGAAATTGGTACATTTGACAGATAATCCAGATGATGACATTGTCAATGACAAGTTGCAGAAACAGTCATCGCAGAATACTGAGCAATCAAAAACGGACTTCATCTAAGCCGTCAATAAAATCTTCATAACAGCTACATATGCATGCCTAAAAATAAGTCCATGCAACACGTTCACACACACACACACACATGCGAACATAGACCATGAAAAAATGGAGAAGTAAAAAAATAGGAGAGAAGGAAGAAAAGCAAGAATAAAGAAGAGCGAAAGAGAAAGACATCATCATTCCTGGAAAGGGTTTCTGTTAATGTCTAAGAGCCGATTTCGCAGTAAAGGAAGAAAGACATTCCAAAAATTCTTCGTGAACATAAAGTTATTAAATGGCATCAACTTTGAGGAAATTACCCATTGCAACCAGGAAATGAAAGATTTCATAGCACCCGGCCTTTAGATTTGAAACCTACAAAGCCTGTCGTTTCAAATCGACATACATTTTCGACTCGTTTTAAGATGGAAATTTCCCCTTCCTTTCCACGTCTACGATTTTCATCCTCTTTACTATTCTACTTTGTTCTTAACCCTGATTTAAAATCATCGACATCACTTTTCTTTCTTATTTAATTTCCTTTCTTGGTCATTTTTGTCTTTATTCGTTTTATGGTTGCAATTTCATTTTTTTTTGTTTCTGTCTTGCTTTCCCTCATTCTTTCTTTCTTTTTTTTCTTCTACAACTGGTAATAACATACCTTTATTTTTCTACGATTTCTATTGGTGAAAATTTCGACTTCTTTATTGTTACTACTATTAATAATTTCCGGTTTTATTCGCTGCCTCCTCATTTTGTTAGTCTCTATTTATTTAATCATTTTTCTATTTATTTTACGTATTTATTTTCTCTGTAAGAGTTTTAAAAGATTCTTTTTGTAAATACATATATCATATATCGCTTTTTCACTTGTGTTCGCTTTCGTCCCTTTTCTTGACTTTCTTTCTCTCCATTTCTACCATTCATTTTTTTTTTCCTTTTAATGTAACTGTATTTCTTTATTTCTATCTCTAACGTGTAATTTCAGCCGGCAATTCATTGTGACCCTGTTCATTACATTAACAGTTGTTTTTTGAACTCTGTCTCTCTCTCTCTTTTTAGTTGGCTTTCTTCAAATTCTATGCGAGCCTTTTTCTCATTCTCTTCGTTTCTTTCCTATTTCTCGTCCTATCTTTCGCCAGCGATAATCTTTTTCAGCATGACCATCATCACTTCCCTTGTGTCATAACTTGCTTCATATTTTTAACACTGCCTTATTTAATCGCTGTCATATTATTTTTGTGTTATGATGTTGATTTGGGATTAGTAGAGACAAACGCCAAATAACACGTAACAATAAAAAGGGTTTTAATAGGTTGGTAAAAAGGTACAGAAATCGCCTGAGTAGTCAATAACGAGCTCAGCTAAGAACTTCTCGGTCTATCTGTCTCCCATTATTTAAAGTCTTTGTTCACAGACGCAGCCAAGTTCATCTTCAAGAGGGGTGGTAGGTTTCCGACACAACATTTTGTCACTGTCACTAACTTCAATGTTGTTACTATTATAACACACATAATTACCGTAACTGTTGTGTATAATACGCAGTCGAGAGTTCTAAGTATTTCTTTGTAATACGCACACCAAACAAAGAGGAGACTTAAAGCAACAGAAATGTGTTCCTACAGAAAGTCACTGAATACCATGAACCAAACATTTGAGTAGCGACGAAGTTTTAGAGAAACTTAAAAATTAGCATCAGGAAGAGACATTTGACATTTCTGGGGCGCATAATGAGGAATGAGGGCTTGGAAAATCTGATACTCACAGGACAGATTGAGGGCAAGAGAGACAGAGAAAAACAACGGCTAAAATACATAGCGAACTTGGCTAAATGGATAGCGGAACAAGTCTTAGGAGAAATAACAGAAAGACAAAGTTTATTAAGAGCTATAAAGGACAGGAAGTTGGGGAGAGTCATGATCGCCTACATTCTGAGGCAACATGGCATGTAAAGAAGAACTGAAAGCTCTGGGCGGTAAATACGAATATGTGAGATGTCCCTCTCTCGGCTACTGTTTGTAATTTAAATGATTTGGTGATGATGACATCATGAATAATGCAAACTTTATCAATTTTGGCAGAGCAAAGGTCAGTTGTTTCAGCAGGCCGTCTGGATGTCATAACTTGCCGGAGATTGAGAAATGGTAAAAAATTTGAAAACTAAATTCTTGAAAAAATATCCTGTGTATAATACACGCTTCTTTTTTATAATTTGTAATGGCTAAACTTAGCCTAAATTTAAACATTTGCTCAACGTTTTATCCAGTTTCTATAGACTAAAAATAAAAATGTTGATTCTTCTCCTTTTAAACCCCTTCAATAAGTTCATTTAGTAAATCTTTAGCTTGAGTGGCTCTTAGGTCTTTTATAGGGTGAATAATAGTATTCAGAAATGTATATGCATATGCATGTATACAGAATTTTGATCAAACACACGAGCACGTCCATAAAAAATGGCAATAACTTCACCTTCTTCATTTTCTTCTTTCCGTCGTCTTACTTTAGTAGACAATCATGACCCTTCCTCTCTTTTACACCTCTTAGTAATACTTATCATTTTACAATCCCTCTGACGCACCGTTCTCCATTACATTCACCCAAACTCATCACGTAGATGGACCGCTACCCGCTTCCCATTTTGCTTTAGATATACCTTGTTAGTGTCAACTTCTCCAAGCCCCCTTTCCTCATTACGCGCCGACGGAATTTCAGTTATCTGTTTGTATTACGCGGCTTTCGGCAACATCACGTTGAAACACCAGTTCCCGGATGATCACCGAAGTTAAGCAACTTCGACCTTGGTCAGTACCTAGATAAGTAATCGTTTGGGAGTACCAGTTGCTGTAATCTTTGGTATATGAGTTGTGTAATGGATAACGGCTCGGAATTGGAAAGTCGTGTTCCAATTCCAATTTGGGTTCGTTATATTCACTTACGCGCATATATCCTTGGAAAAATTATGAATCCACTTCTTCTCCCCAGCTATGGGTTAATTAGTAAAACTTTTATCACTAAACCATAATTATAAATTCTTTCAATCTAAAAATATTTTCTGGCTTCAAATAACCTGAAAATAGTTGCTAAGCCGAAGCAAACGTAGAAAATCTGGCGCACTCCGGCCATTGTATTCTCAATATCCTTCTGTAGAATTATACTGTAGAACAATATTTCTGTTGACTCAAGTCCTCTCTACATCTGTGAAGAGATTATTTAACATTTAATACCGTATAGGAGGATTGGGGAACTTGAATGTGGTGTAATATTAGCAAGCTTGTCTCACTAGATCAATTACGACTAAGTAGGGAATTCGATCCTCACTGGGTACTCAACACTTTCGGTTTTGAACCACATCTAAATGAGTCTTAGAAGATATAGGCATCTGGACGTGGTGTAATGGTTAGCAATCCTGTCTCACTAGCACTGTTAAGACTGAATATTGAGTTCGATCCTCACTGGATTCCCTATACTTTCGGCCTTGTACCACAACTAATCTACGCTTTGAAAATCACCATATAGGAGAAATTATTTTACGTCCAATACTCTTTTCTTTGTTTCTAACGAAATTTTCTACTTCTTAATACTTTGCTTTGAGAAGGCATCTTTTGTTATTCCATTGCGTGTTGGACCTACGATGTTACCTTTTCTATCCTTTATTAAAACACTTCCCAGATATTTGCTTCTTGATTTTAAAATCTCCAATTCATAGTTAACATTTTGGGATTTTCTTCTCCAGCTGACAACCATATATTTTGTCTTCATACAATTCATAGTTTTCTTTTCTTGTCATTTTCCTTTACTAACGAACTAACAGGTCCTGTAATATTTCTTTTGTTTTGTCCACCTACACAATGCCATCTGCGTATCTAATATGGATAATATTGCAAATCATGGCAGGATTTTCAGCTTGTTAAGGGTAGCCCCGATGTAGAAGCTGAATACATCTGATGAGAAGACACATTTTTTGTCTTACGCCCCTATTTATGTACCTACTGAATTCATTTTCAATCCGTCTGTAGGCGGTTTGCTTCTAGTATAATCTCTGGATTATTCTAACATCCCTCCCAAATAGATGTATGTTTTCCTCTAATATCAGGATTAAAGAAAAATGAAATCACATATTCCAGTGACGTAGAAGCGTAAAAACTGAAAAAAGACCTCTACCAGTTATTGGTCATTGATAGCGTCCGACATCGTAATGGAGTCATTAGAGTTCTTCAACATGCCAATTAAGTTCGGACTCTTGGTTGTCAGAGGTGCTGTAGTCGCCATCGAGGTCTTTCCATTATCTATACGTGGAGGCTGGAAGACTAGAAAAGCGTCACTGAAAAGGTAAATCCATTCAAATATACTGCATCATGAATGTACTGAATAACAGTGAAGATGATATCCTTTACGAGGAAGAAGGTCAAGATGACTCTGTGGACGACATTGATATCGAAGATGACTAAGACATCGACCACATTTGACAACAGAAATGAAACCCTCATGAGCTCTCTGATACGGACAACAGTGAGGCAGGCTAAAATAGGCTTAATATACGAGATGGTATTATCACCTTCGAAATAGTTAGCAATACATCGGTCCCAGCGTTCCTGCCACTTTCGGAATCCGGCCTGGAATTCGTTTTCCGTAAAAGAGTCGAGGACCTTCTGCGATTCGCTCTTGGTCTCCGCCTCGGCAACGGTGTTAAAACAGCGACCGTCGGGCTGCATTTTAAAAAGAGATGGAGGTCCGCAATCAGGTGAATAGAGAAGGTACAGAAGCGATACAATATTGTTTTTGACTGGAAAATCACGAGTGAGCAGAGCAGGGGTGGGGAGATTTGTCGTCGTGAAAAATCCAAATTTTTTGCGCTCCACAGTTCGGGTCGTTTTCGCTGAAAGTCCTCCCTCAAACGCCTCAAAACATTGCAGTAGAATTCTCGGCTGACGTTTTGGCCCTGGAGGGAACGAATTCTCGATGCACAATACTGCGGATCTCGACAAAAACGATGAGCATGCGCATGCATGACAAAATACAGCATACACGTGATCATAAAACACAAATTTCCCAAGTTGCGAAGTGAAAACAGCGATGTCACTAAGCACACTGGCCAACGAAGGCCACTGCTAGCTCTCACTGCGCGCACAATCGTGTGTTGCCATCTGTCGGTGAACTACAGAACTAGTCTGGAAACTTTTTTATATCACCTCATGTAAATGAATAAATTGTTTTTAAATAAATGCATTGTATGGTACATGATTTAAAGCCGTTGTCAAATAAAGTAAGAAAGGGCTGTGCTATGTAATGGGGACGTCAAATCCAGATGCAGAAACTTAACTATCTACCTAGTGTAACAGGTGACAGGAAATGTGACATATAAATCTGATGTCCCTTAAGAATAGCGAAAGATACCTTTCAGAAACTAAGCAAAGTATTAAGAGATCAAAAAATGCCCTTAGAAACAAAGAAAAGAGTGCCAAACTGCTATATGATATCCAATCTATATACTGGACAATTTCCTCACATATGAAGAAACGACTTTTTTATGCTGATGAATTTCTAAAAATACCATGAACAGAACATGTCAGGAAGTTTTAGGGAAAACAAGAACTGTATTATTATTATTATTATTATTATTATCGCTTGAGGAATTCGTTTTTTAACCGATTTTATCCCATGGAAGGTAGTAAAGTGTGTTACTGGGTGTTGAAAAATTAAGAACAGAAACATTAATAAAGTGCGGGAACAGAAAAGAGTAATCAGATTTTAAATTTTTACAGATTAAAGTTGACTGGAAAGCATGGAGCCGGAAGGGAGTTCAACAAGCGAGAAGTTCGAGAAAAGAAACTGTTACCATAAAATCTACGGTTACAGCTAAGCCAGAACAACTGTAAATTGATGAAACCTCGTCTCCAATATAGTACTGCGCTTAAATTCATAAAGTTTAAGTACCACAGCGATGAGCTCGTCTGAACAATTACCATGAAAGGATTTATAGAAAAAACACAGGGTGTCAAACTTACGGCGGGTGGGAAAGACACTTAAGTCGAGCATTGCTCTCTCAGGACAATCATGCCCTCTTCAAATTCTACCCTTTGCTGATTTAAGACATTTTTTCCCATTACAATCCCACTTTGTCCTTGCTCTGCCATCCATTTACCAAAAATCCTTCAGTAGTTTACTAGTTGTTTTCTTTTGCACTATGCCCTGTGAGTGTTAAATTCCATAGGCTTTCTTTCCTTATTATGTATCCCAGACATTTCATTTATTTGTTTTTAATAGAGTAACTAAAAACCTCAGGTACCTTGAAGTACCCGAACGATGGCTAACATTTCTACCAAACGTATGAGTTGACAAATGGACTCGTTTCCAGCTCAGAAGGACATACAAAGAATCAAAATCGACCTATAAACACTTTTGTAGCTAGTTTTTGAACGTTATTCTTTGGACGTGTTTATTCGTCCATGTCTGAAAAAGATACTTTCGGTAAAAACGTATATACACGTCTATGGCTGGGAAGGAGTTAAAACTCACTAGCTGCTCCCATGGCCTATCTATTCTCAGCATTGGTTTATAGAATCACATCTCTCTCGTTTTAAGTATCTTCTTCGTCTGCCAGGAGATTATCCAGCACACTACCTGGCAAAGTATTGTAGCATTGTACTAAAAAAGGCTAAACTTAGTAAATACCTACATGTACGTTTATAAATATACTTACGTACTCACAGACGGGCGTAAACAAAGAGTGAAAGAAAGATAGATATTGAGAAATCGAAAACTGTACACATACTCCGTTGATTAGACGTTTTAGCTATGAGAAATGCTCTTTAGGTTAGTCTCTCGACCAGTTATTCTTAAAGACTGTGTTCCATTTCAGCGCTTCCTGTGCTGCCACCTGTCTTGCTCCACCTGGCAACAGACTTGCACAGGACAGTTGTGTTCGCTTGCTATAGGTAGCATCTGTTTCCTTCGCTACCAACACGCCAACGCCGGATAAATGATGCAGGCTATTTTGAGGGCCCCATCCGCCAACATCTGCATATACGATTCTATATTTACTGCTGTATTCGTCAAAACGTTTTTCGGAAACGCCCTACTCTTATTTTGAATTGCATTTTTGCTTCGAATCCAATCTATATGAGGTCAGAAACTGTCTTTCACAAAGTGCACATGCTTTACGCCTTGTAATATAAAATTAGTTGCATTAACGTCTTATTATTAATATTATTTGTATTCGTTGGGTTCCGACATCAGTTGCATTCGTGTATCAAGTGATAGCAAGTCGTTTCACTATTCCAGCACTCTCCTCAGTATTGCAGCTAATTTTAATCTGGACTGTTTCTCGTATTTCTTGGATTCCTAACTTCTTCAAAATTATTTGGCACTTTTCTAAACGCGCCAATAAAAATTCGTAAATCTGTCACCTCCAGAGTCTCGTAGGCGGATCGTCCATTCTTCAGGGAGTATCAGCAATTTACTGCTCATATTTTGTCGATTTTTTTTCCGTTTATGCACATTTAACACTGGTGTAAGTTTTCTTCTGGATCCTCTGTGTTCTTGTGTGCGGTTATTTGCAAATGTACACATACATATACCTATATACGTGTGTGAATGGATGCGTACGTGTATACACTGGCGTATAAGTACAGACATATGCACATAAATTCAAACAATAATTAAAAAAAATTAATTAGCGTAAATGACGGTTCCGTATAGGATGCAGGTTCGAATCCTGTCAATGAACGAATATTTTCTATGAAAATTTCTCGGACATTCAGGCCGGTAAATGTTATTTAATACTGTTTATCATAAACAGAGCATTTGCTTAAATACTTGTATCTATAAAATAACAACGTTAAACATAAA